ACCAGCCAGCAACTGGAACACCGGGTGCCGTATTTCTTGTACCTGGAAGGTGGGAGTGAGGGAGCAGGGTGTAAGAAACCACCATTCAGGAGACCATTTTCCTCAACAGGGGGCTGTTTTTCTTCCCCTGGTTCCCACACCAGCTGAGTCCGGTTTGAGTGGCCCACCCCCAATGCCTCTGGGTGGAGGACCTGATGCCGCAGGCATTGCAGAGAGGGGTCCCGTCTTCAGCATCTCTCCAGAGTGGAGTCCTCTGGGTCCTACAAGAAGCACAGCGCCGGGGCCCTGCGGTGTCAGAGGTCAAAAGGCACAGGGTCAAAGGCCAGACGTCAGTTTCAGAGGATGGTCTCTGCTAAGGCTTCAGTAGCTCTGGGTCTGCCTTGGGTGTTGCCAGATAGAAGACAGTGGGAGAGCTGGGCACGGGGACAGATGGTGAGTCAGATGGTGAGAGTCTCTGCTGAGGAGGAAGCTGGGGGTGGGGGTGACTCAGTGCGGTGGGGGGGCTCCTCTGAGCAGCTCTAAATGAGGAATTGGAATGAAGGAGGGGCATGGAGAAAGCCCGAGGGTATGACAGTGGCACCCGCCCTCAAGATATCCCTAGCTGAGGAGTCTGTGTCTCACCTAGGGCCTCACTGCCTCCTGGGCTGACAAGGGCCTTGGAAGGGCTTGCAGGGGGCTTTTGTAAACAACTTCTGCCAGGCAAGCTGTGAACAGACAAGACAAAGCACTGGGGAGTCTGTAAGGTGGTCTTCAGAAAGAATACTTCCATCAAAGAATTTTATACACTCATTTATACATATATTAAATCACAATAAAATAAACTTACTGGTAAAGTAACATTGTTACAGGAAAAATAAAAATTAAATTCTCTCTTTACTTTTTTCCCCCAAGACACGGTTTCTCTGTGTAACAATCCTGGTTGTTCTGGGACTTGTTTTTGTAGACCAAGGTGGACTCGAACTTGCATGGATCCCCCTGCTTCTGCTTTAATCCTAGAGTACTAGGATTAAAGGTGTGCATCACCACCACCACCACCACCACCACCACCACCACCATCACCACCACCACCACCACCACCACCACCACCACCACCACCACCACCACCACCACCCAGCCTGTCTTACTTTGAGACAAGGTATTAGTAGACTGCCCTGCTTCAGTCTCTGGTGTCTGTGATAGGCCTGCACTATCTCTTACTTTCTTGCTGTTAAGACAGGTTTCTCCATATAGCCAAGGCTGGCCTGGAACTCCTGGAACTTGTTCAGCCTCCTGAGACTGCAGTGTGCGGTCTCACGCCTGGCTGGAGTAATGGCCTCTCAGGTATCCAGGGCTTTGTGCACGATAGGCAGGCAGGCACTCAACCCACTAAGCCCCAAACTAAGGTTCATTACCAAGGTTAACAGGCAATCCCTCAGGAGGCATCTACATCAAATCCTGGCTTTGTATCCCACTAGCAGCAATAAAATAATACTGTATTTAGTCAAGTATGTTACATTCCTGTGATTCTAGTCTCAAGGGGCTGTGGCTGCAGGAAGGTGGAATTCTGGGACAGCCTAATCTACATACATAATGAGACCTTGTCGAAAAAATTAAAGAAAAAAAACCCAAGTAATTGGATAAAAATTAGCTGGATGTGGTGGTGGCACAGATAATCTCAGTACTACAGAGGTGAGGGTAGCAGGATTAGAAGTTCAAGGTCAGCCTGGGCTATGTGAAATCCTGTTTCAAAAAGCAGTAGTGTTAACAGAATCCCACTCGGGGGCCTTTGAAGTAGTTCAGTGGGTAAAGGCACTTATTGCCAAGCCTGATAACCTCTTTGAAACTTGGAACATAAACAATGGAAAAAAAAAACGACTGCAAGTTGTCGTCTGACCTACACACACACACACACACACACACACACACACACACAGGCCATGACACATGTGTACCCCTAAAATAAATAAATGTAATAATAAAATTCTTGTATGAGGATGTGTGTGTATGTAGGTTCTAAGCAAGCACAAACAATGATCCTTTTTTTGTCTTCATTACGTGCGTGTGTGTGTGTGTCTCTGTGTGTGTGTGTGTGTGTGTATGTGTGTGTGTAAGAGAGAGAGAGAAAGAGAGAGAATCTGTGTACCACGGTGATGTCAGTGTATGGAGGTCAGAGGACAACTTTTGGGAGTCAGTTCTCTCCTTCCCCATTGGTCCCAGGGATGGAACTCAGGTCATCAGGCTTGGCTGAAAGCCCCTTTCCCCACCAGGCCACCCACCAGCCTGGACCTGTGGGTTTTTTGTTTGTTTGTTTGTTTTTTGAGACAGGGTTTCTTTGTGTAGCCTTGGCTGTCCGGGAATTTACCCTGTAAACCAGGCTGGCCTCAAACTCACAGAGATTCCCTGGCCTCTGCCCCTCCCTCAGAGTGCTGGGATTAAAGCATGTGCCACCACTGCCCAGCAATCTATATTTTTTGAGCTGTGTCTTTAGCCGAGGCTAGCCAGCTCCCAACTCAAGATCCTGACTTTAGTGTCCTGGGTGCGAGGACTGCAAGCTTTGTGGTTTGGGGTATGTTTTTCTTTTTTTTTCTTTCTTTCTTTTTTTTTTTTTTTTTTTTTTTTTCGAGACAGGGTTTCTCTGTATTGTTTTGGAGACTGTCCTGGAACTCGCTCGGTAGACCAGGCTGGCCTCGAACTCACAGAGATCCGCCTGCCTCTGCCTCCCAAGTGCTGGGATCGCCCAGCATGTTTGTTTTTAAAGTGTTTTTTTTGTGCCGGGCATTGGTGGCACCTTTAATCCCAGCACTTGGGAGGCAGAGGCAGGCGGACCTCCGTGAGTTCGAGACCAGCCTGGTCTACAAGAGCTAGTTCCAGGACAGCCTCCAAAGCCACAGAGAAACCCTGCCTCGAAAAAAAAAAAAACAACAACAACAACAAAAAAAGGAACTCTCTTTGAAGATCAGGTTGGCCTCGAACTCAGGGATCTGTCTGCCTCTGCCTCTAGAGCGCTGGGACTAAAGGCTATTTTTAAAATTACTTTTACTTATGTTGTTTGCTTGCTTGCATGAGTTTATATGTGCTACATGTGCGCCTGAGTCCAGGGAGGCAGGGTTCTCTAGAGCAGGAGCTGCATGCAGCTGTGAGCCATAAAGGGGTGGCTGGGAGGGAATCGAGTCCACTATCTCTGCAAGAGTGACCAGCACCCTTAATTGCTGAGCTGTCTCTTCAGGCCTGAGGGGTTTTGTTTTGTTTAATTTCTTTGAGCCGGGGCCTAGCTGTATAGCCAGGCAAGCTTTAAATGTCCTCATTCCCAACATGCTCTTTTACGCGTGGCTCCCAGCCCTTTTCATTCTGTCTTGAGACAGTCTCCTTAAGTTGCACAAGCTAGCCTTGAACTCACTCTGTAATTCCGGCTGCCTTTGAACTTTCCATGTCCTTCCTCAGTCTCCCAAATAGCTTGGATGACAGGCCTCTACTACAGCCCTGGCCTACCTGTAAGTGTACGGTTATTATATTTAGGCATTCATTATCATGGTTGAGAGTCCCTACCTGTAGGTGGGTACAATCTGGAGGCTAGAATCCGGCTGTATCTGAAACTCCAAAGTTACCCCCCTTGAACCTGGGGTCCACTTTCTCAATGCCCATTCGGGGGTTCGGCTGCTTCCGTGGTCTTCTCTGGTGTGAGGCTGGGGAAGCCCCACTAGAAGGCTCCGGGTTGGGGCGCTGTGTGCTCTTGGGATTCCTGGCCATACTTAGGGGGTCTGACATCCCTATGACCATCAGCTCCCAGCACGGTCCCAGGGCCTGAGTGGCCGGCGACGGGGACCCCAGTGGCCCCTTTTCTTTCTCTTGAAGAAAAGGCAATGCTGTGCTGACCGAGTCCTGGCACACAGGCCACAGGGACCTGGGGGATAAGAAGCAGTAAGGCGCGGCCACCCCTTTCCAGGGGGCTTGGATTTGATAGGTAAGGAGAGGCAGAGCTGATTCCTCTCCTTTGGTAACCGTGTGTTCCATCTGGGGCCAGAATCTTGGGTTATTAGGTTTAAAAGTTGCAAAGTAATTGTTAGCAGAGACCAATCCCGAATCTCCCCCCTCCCCCCCCCTTGGCTGGCTATCAGCTCCCATCAGTTACCCCCCACCACTAACAAAGCAGGGACCCACCCTAGGCAATCGGCCCAATGCGGGCTGCTGTCAATCACTCCATCAACTGTTGCTAGTAGGCTACTCTCAATCACCCCACGAACGACCCTTCATTGGTACCTCCTTGGGTCACAAACCACAGCAGGGGGGTGGGAATGGGAATCACCTGTCCCTTTCTGTGTGTAGGGGCTGAAACTTGTTCTGTGCCAATAACTACGAGGGGGAGGCCTCAGAAACCGGGGATCGTGACCCCTCAATCTCCTGGCCTGATGAAGCATTAGCTGGGATGGGCGGTGGAGGAGTCTCGCCCCACGCACCTGCCATTGGGAGTGAGGCATCTCAGGGCTCCAGGCTCCCGCGCGGGGGGGTCGGCTCTTACGGAGCGACTCCGTGTCCAGACAAGGTGGCGCCAGGAGTTCCTGCCGGCGGCGCATCAAGTCACGGGCCGGTGCCGCCTCCATGCCCACTCTGGGCCCAGTAGCAAATCTCTCTGCCCTGCTCCGCTAGGGATAAACCCGAGGATGAGAGTGATGACGATGAGCGCCACCTGGGCGGAGCCGGCCGGCGCAGGTCACGTGGGGGCGCTGTTTGCACCTGGGAGCACTTTTTGCAGCGGCTGCTAGGAGGCTCAGCTGTGTGGCTCGTGCTCACGAAGGTCCCCCGGGTGACCCTCTCTTAGCTAGCTATCTCCTCACTGAGCGCAGCCTTGAAGGTCAAGGGACGCTCTGGATGCCTTCTCTGCGGCTGGGGCGGAGCCTGGCCACGCAGGGGCGTCCCAGGAAGAGCGAAGTGGCGGGTGGTGCTAGGGGGGTGCGGGCACACCCCGGGCCCCTGCACTCGGAGCTGGACAGACCGGCCCCCCAAGGACACGAAACATGCCACAGTTGTGTATGACTTTTTATTGCAGCTCTGGTGTGAGTCCATCCCTAATTTATAGTTCGATTCTCCCTGGTGGACCAACACATCCAAGATGGAGACCCACCCCCTCAGGTCAGGACACTGGCGGTCCCCAGCAGTGCTCGTGGTCTGACACTGTGCTTCCAACCTCTCTTTCCCAGCCAGTCTGTGTTCTGGGGCCGGAAGCATGGCTTTTCTTTTCAGTTCAGTGGCCCTGGTTGGTCCAGTGGCCTCATCTCAGTGGGGCTTGGGAATGTGGCCATCCACGTAGAAGTTCCTGGTGACCTTGGGAAGAGCAAACTCGACTCCTTCCAGCTCAGGGGTCAGCACAATCTGGCAGCCCAGTCTCGAGTTCTCCTGGAGCAGCGGGGCCATGTCCAACATGTCGTCCTCCCTGGGACAAAGGGCAGTGGTCAGCGTGGTGTGGGACCAGAGCCCTGGGTACGGGGAGGCAGATGCCGGCCATGTAGCTGGGGCTGCCTACTCACCTCTCCTCAGGAGGCGGCAGGAGATCCAGGTGGGCCTCGCTTACATACACATGGCAGGTGGAACACGCCAGGGAGGCTTCGCAGGCCCCTGGGGACAGGAAGGAAAGGGACAGCCTTAGTGAGGGGCAGGCTCGACCTCGGCCCCTTAGTCCCATCCTTCTCAGAGCAGAGAGGTTCCCAAGTATTCGGCAGGCTTTTTGCTGTTTGTCTGGGGCAGTGTCACGTAGCCCAGGCTAGTGTTAAACTCACTATGTAGTCAAGGCTGACCTGGAACTGACTCTCCCCTTCACCTCCCAAGTGGTATGACAATCAGGAACCATGATGCCTGGCCCACACCAACTTCCCTCCCACCTCAGGGCCTTTGCACTCCTGTACCCATGGCCTAGAATGTTCTCTGCTTTGTTAGCAGCATTTATTCAAGGCTTCAACTCAAGTGTTTCTCAATTCCCCCACTTTCCTTTCTTCATTTTTTTTGTGGCATTCATCACCATGTAACAACAACAAAAAAAAGCTATTAGGCCAGGCAGTAGTGGCGCACGCCTTTAATCCCAGCACTCAGGAGGCAGAGGCAGGTGGATCTCTGTGGGTTGGAGACCAGCCTGGTCTACACAGTGAATTCCAGGACAGCCAAGGCTACACAGAGAAACCCTGTCTTTAAAAAAAAGGTATTAGGGATTGACTCTAGGATCTTGAACAAGCAAGAGTGGTCCACACTGTTACACCCCAGTCTTTTTTTTTTTTTTTTTTTTTTTTTTTTTTTGGTTTTTCAAGACAGGGTTTCTCTGTGGCTTTGGAGGCTGTCCTGGAACTTGCTTGGTAGTCCAGGCTGGTCTCGAACTCACAGAGATCCGCCTGTCTCTGCCTCCCGAGTGCTGGGATTAAAGGCGTGCGCCACCAACGCCCGGCAACACCCCAGTCTTTTAAAAACCTTATCTAAACACATTTTCTTATTGAGTATGCCTGCTTTGGGGTGGGGAGGATGGACATGCCATGGCACCCATATGGAGGTCAAAGGGCAGCTCTGTAGAGCTGATGCTCACACACCTTCACCTGCTCCTGGGGACTAAAATCAGGTGCCCTGACCCACTGAACCCCCACCTCATCTTCCCAAACTTGTAATTTTTGAGACAGAGACTCTTGCTAAGTCGTCCAGGCTGGGTTTGAATCTAAACAGGCATTGAATCTTCTTTTTTGGGGGGGGCATGTTGTTCTTTTTTGGTTTTCCGAGACAGGGTTTCTCTGTATTGTTTTGGAGGCTGTCCTGGAACTCACTCTGTAAACCAGGCTGGCCTCGAACTCAGAGATCTGCCTGCCTCTGCCTCTGGAGTGCTGGGATTAGAGGCATGCACCACCATTGCCCGGCCTAATACCTTTTTTTTTGAGACAAGATTTCTCTATGTAGCCTTGGCTGTCCTGGAACTTGCTCTGTAGACCCAAGCTGGCCTCAAACTCAGACATCTGCCTGCTTCTGCCTCCAAGTGCTGGGACTAAAGGTGTGTGCCACTATGCCCAGCTCTTGAAGGCTTTTAAAATATTTATTTATATTTATGTGAATTTGTGTGGGAATATGCACACGACCATAGAACACATATAAAGGTCGGAGGACACCCAAGTTGCTTCTCTTGCCAAGTCAGTTCTAGGGATTGAATTCAGGTCATAAGGCTTGGTGGTAGTAGCCATTTAACCAATGAGCCAACGTGTCAGCCCAGATCCTGAACTTTTCATACTCCTGGTTCAGCTCCCCAAGCAGCTAAGATTACAGACCTGAGCCACAGGTCTCACTTGTTCTGTTTACACTGGGTCTATAATGTCTAGGTTGGTTTTGAACTCCTAGACTCAGGTAGTCCTGAAGCTTAGCTTCTGAAGCAGTGGGGACCAAAGGGATGCCCACTATCACCAGGTAATCCACAGCCACCTTCTCATCTTGGGGTTGGCTGCTCATCTACTCTCCTATCTGGCGAGTACTAAGTATGTTCATTCTCACAGCAAGCTGTTGAGAGCAGTGCTAATCACCTTTGATAAAGAAGAAACGAAGGCTCAGAAATGGGCTTTGAGCTCACACAGCTAGTGAGGCACCAGAGACATGGCCTACTTGCTTGGAAACTGTTCCAAGTTCTGTTCTGCACAGCAGCTGCTGGACTCACCGTCCACCTCCAACATCTCTACCCATTTTTACTGGGTTTTGGTTTGTTTTGAGAAAGAAGTCTCACCATGTAGCCCTGGCTGTCCTGGAACTCACTCTGTAGACCAGGATGGCCTCAAATCACAGAGATCCACCCGTCTCTCCTGCCAAGTGCTGGGATCAGATGTGGGAGCCACCACGCTTAGCCATATCTGCCAGCTTCAGATTAAAAGCTTTAATCAGGCCCCCTATTCTATTACCTGGTCTGTCAGTGAGAACCTACCAGGCTCAGGCTGGCGTGATATGACAGAGGACCTGTCACTTTGTTACACACAGTAGCTAGTATTCGCACAAGGACTCATCATTTTTGAGACATAATTTTTCATAATTTATCTTCATAATTTTATAATTTTTGAGACAGGGATTCTTGCTAAGTTACCCAGATTGGGTATGAATCTAAACAGACACTGTCCTTTTTGTTTTGCTTTTTGAGACAGGGTTTCTCTGTATTGTTTTGGAGGCTGTCTTGGAACTTGCTCTGTAGACCAGGCTGGCCTTGAACTCAGGGATCCGCCTGCCTCTGTCTTCAGAGTTCTGGGATTAAAGGCATATGCCACCATTGCCTGGCAAAGTTTGTTTTAGTTTTTGGTTGCTTTTGCTTTTTTGAGACAGGGTCTCACTATGTAGCTCTGGCTGTCCTGGAACTCGCTCTGTAGACCAGGCTGGCCCTGAACTCACAGAGATCCACTTGCCTCTGCCTTCAGAGTGCTGGGATTAAAAGCAGGTGTGCCATTTCACCAAGCATTTTCTTAAAAAACAAAAAAACCAAAAAGAAAACAGGGTCTCAACTACAATCCTTGGCTGGCCTGGAATTCACTCATTGGGTAAAGGGATTGCCACTAAAGACAAAGAACTGAGTTCAATCCCTAGCAAAACAATATGGAAGGAGTGAATTGAGTTCCTCAAGTGTTCCTTTAACCTCTACAGAGGCATACAAATGCACACTAAGTACAGTAAAGAAAATGCCCATTGATATTTGCAAACAAGCAGCATGGGAGGCCTAAATGCCCAATGTTTGAATCATGTTTTGCCATGTGACTCTTGCTTTGAACCCCACCTACCATCACATGGTGTAGTTTTCTTCTCTGCAAGGTGGAATTACTGCCTCCTCTATTGATAAAGCTGTCACAGGAACTGGCACTCATCATACACTGAGGAGCACGAGAGGGCCCCAGGTACGTAACTGTGGCTCACTGTACGACGGATGGCAAAGAGCAGGCGAGACAAGCTCTCCCAGACCAGCAGACACGCGACCAGACATGGGCATGGGCTTATGCTGGGGCGAAAGGATGCCAGACAGTCGGGTCGAAGAAACTGGAGCCTGGCGATGTGCTGGGAAGACACTTGCGATACAGAAAACCGCAAGTACAAAGGCTGGAGTCAGACCAGAGCCACACACCTATGATCCCAGCACTGGAGGGGCAGAGGTCTCTGGAGTCTGAGCTGCACAGAGGCTGTCTCAAAGGCACCTCTCCCCAAACGGCAGCCAGTGGTCGGGAGAGAGAATCCACAAGCTACAAGAGAGCGCATATTCTAGTAGCCTCTAGTAATGCTCAGTAAGGACGACTCCAAGGCTAAGTCTCAATGTTACGTTTTTAATTTTAAGTGTTTACCTGTATATCTGTGTGTGTTGTACATGAGATTGAAGTGCCCACGGAGGTCAGGAGAGGGTATGAGCCCCTGGGGCTACTGTCACAGAAGGCTGTGAGTTGCCTGGCATAGAGCGGGTGGAGGAACAGAGCACAGGTCTTCTGCACTCTTCAGTACTGAGCAAACTTTCCAGTTCTATTATTTTCTCCCCTTTAAAATGTATTTTTACTAGCCGGGCATTGGTGGCACACGCCTTTAATCCCAGCACTCGGGAGGCAGAGGCAGGAGGATCTCTGTGAGTTCGAGGCCAGTCTGGTCTACCAAGTGAGTTCCAGGACAGCCTCCAAAACAATATGGAGAAACCCTGTCTCAAAAAACCATTAAAAGAAAAGCATTATTACCGTGTACACAGCTGTGCGAGTGCCTGCCTCAGCACCGAGGTGGCGTCAGCTTCTCTCCTGCCTTATGTGGTCTCAGGGCACTGAACTCAGGTTGGCAGGCTTGTGTAGGGACCATCCTACCAGCTCAAACTCAGAGGTGGCTAAACAGTGGAGACAGCCTGTAACCCCAGAACTGAGAAAGCTGAGGCAGGAGGATCACTACAGTGGGTAACTAGCCTGGTTACATGGACTCTATCTCAGCCCCCCCCCCAATACAGTGGTGTGGTAGCACATGCTTCTAGTCGAAATACTCAGAAAGTGGAGGCAGGAGGATCACTGTAATGGGTTGCAGGCTAGCCTGGATTACACACTTAAGATTCTGGACAGTCTGAGTTACAGCGTGAGGTCCTGATTACCGACCCACTCATACTACAACAGAAATATCGGGTACGGTGGTGCACACCAGTCACACCGGCACTCGGGAGGTGGAGGCAGGAGGGTCAGGAGTTCTGATATTCGAGGATAGCCTGGGCTATTTGAGATCCTGTCTCAAAAATACAGAAAGGTATAAAAAAGAGTGGCAAGAGTCACCCCAATTTCCTATGACCTACCTTCCAGGTCCACCCCGTGGCGCTGGGCCAGGTGAAGAACATTGTCCCCGACTCTGCCCCTCACGGGGATCCGTCGACCAGAGCGGTCCACGAAGACCACGTTGACCCTGGGGACAGACAGGGTGCAGGCGCTGTGAGCCGAGGCAGCCAGCGGCCGAGTGGCAGGGCGGGGCAGGGCGTGGCGGGCACTCACGCGTCCCGGGGCAGCTCCGGGCCGTCTGCCTCGTCCTCGCCTGCGCGCCGCTCTCCTGGAAAACACGAGTGGGTGAGCGGCTGCGGCCTCGCTGCCAGCCGCAAACCGACCCAGCCCTAGGTACCTGTCGTCCCGAGAGTCCTGGACGTCACTGCCACGTGTCCAGCCCAGGTACCCCAAGAACCCCCGGCGGCTCGCAACAGGACCCGGGCACTCACGCCGCGGGTCATGGAGGCGGCCATGATAGGCCACGTGACCGGAAGACCGAGCATGCCCAGTGCGTAGGCCGTAATCGCAGTGTTTGAACGCAGTATGAGGTCGGAGGTGATAGACCAGGATCCGGCAGGACTTCCGGCCTGGTCCTGTGGTTGGGACACACCCTCCCCCGCGTTGGGTCTTATTGTATGTGTGAGCACCAAGTGGGTGCCTGTGGAGCTCGTCAGAGGGCTGTGTGGATGTTGGGAACTGAACCGCAGTCCTCTGCAAGGACAACAATCAACCAAGCTAGCCTTGGACTTAAAGCCACTTGCCTTTGCTGGAATCCAGGGTTATATGCCACCAGGTTCTCTCTGTATAGACTGAAATGTTCTAGAATTTGCTATGTAGACCAGGTTGGCCTGGAACTCAGATTCTCTTGCCTCGGCCTCCCAACCGCTGGGATTAAAAGCCAGTGGCACCATGCCCCACTGCAATTTTAGGGACTGTATGGGTGTGTGTGAGGACAATTTGTGAGTCAGTTTTCTCTTATCATTTGGGCCCCAGAGATAAAACTCAGGTTGTCAGGCTTGGTGGTAAGTGTTCTTACTGTAATACTGAACTATCTTGCTGCGTCCATGGTTTATCTCAATAAACAGCCAACTCTGATACATTCTTTTTTAAAACCGTTTACTTACAAACTTTAATTCAGCAAAGGTCTGTGTGGGAAGAAAGGGGGAGGGGACACCCCCAAGGAGTAGGTTTGGGGAGGGAGGCTGGTGGCTCAGCTGGCCAGGGGCAAGAGTCCCAGCCCCTCAAGCAGGCAGGCTGTGGAGCTTGTCTGTGTGGGCAGAGGAGGCCAGCTCCAGTGGTCTGGCCTAGGGATGGTGGTGGTGATCTGGTTTCTGAGGGACATGGTTACAGGCCCAGTGACCTGGGTACAATGGTCAGCTTTCACAGACAGCAGCAGGGTCTATTGAAGCCAGCAGAAAACACTGGCTTCTGTACCCAGGCTTTGGGCTAAGGGGTGGTTTGTCAAGACCAAGGCTTTGGCCTTCTGTCCACAGGGTAGACACCCTGGAGAAAGGATGATCTCTAGGTCAGAGCTCTTTGGTCCTGAGTCGAGCTTCCTGAGCTCGGCATCTGAGAAGCTCTGACCTATAGGACCTGTGGCCCAACTTTAAGGCATCAGAAGGCAAGGAGACGATGGCAGGGAGGGAGCATGAGACAGCTATGCCTGCAGCAGATGATTGGGAAAAGGCTGAGCTGTTGGGAACCGAAGTGTGGAATGGAGGCCCAAGTAGGCCAGACCCTGAAGGAGTCAAAGTTGGGGCTTTTCTGGGGTGGGGGTGGGTGTGGGGATGGATGTGGTAATCATCCTGGTTGTTTTAAAAAATAAAAATTAGAAAAGGAAATCAAAGTCAATTGTCTAAGTTTAAAAAAGGGGACTGTCCCCGATCCTCACAGGTCAGGGACACCTCCAAAGGCACTCAAAAGGCCAGAACACAGGAGTGATGAGGCAGGCGAGGAGGCCTGGAGAGCTGGGCACAGGAGGCTAGGAGTTGGGGAGGGAAAGAGAGCAGGCCGGGCCCCTCTCTCTTAAGGCTGCAGGGTTCTGGCTCCAGGAGCAGGCCCACAGGTGCGGCCCTCAGACAACCCCACATTCCTTGAGCTCCGGCTGGTTGGTCATCAAAGTCTTTTCCAGAGATTTCTCTATTACCCAAAGAAAGGATATTTAAAAAAAAATAAAAATAAAATCCCACAAAAACACAAACACCAGAAAAAACCCAAAAGCAATTTGGTGCAGGCCCTTGGAGCATCTCTGGCGCTGACGCCTTAGAAAATCCTCTTCCGCTTCAGGTAGGAGTCCGCGTAGTGGCCACCGAGGCCCTGGGAGTGCTGGCCCACGTAGCTGCCCTCTGGACTGGGCTCAGGTGAGGGGAGCAGGTGGGAAAAACTGCGTTTCTGGCCGCCCAGTGGGGTCTGGAGACAGACGGCAGGGGAGGCTGGGTCAGGGGCCTCCTAGGGGCCAGGGCTCCCCAGCCCTGTGCCTCCCCTCTCCCTGCCCGTACCTTTAGCAGGTGGCTGTGACCATTAGGCCCAGGGCCAATGCCCAGGAGCCCTTCACTGGAGCCCATCGGGGAGGAACCAACAGCCTGGGGAAATCAAAGAGGTGGGGCATCACCCTCTGGAAGAAATCTTGAGTCCACTTGAGCCACCCAGAACACAAGGCCTGGTGGTAATGGAACTGTTTTTCCTCTATCCTCTGGGGATAAGACCTCCCACATCTTAGGAGAGCTTGGGATGAGGGGCGTGCAAGTGTTAGGCTCCACACACATAGCAGGGAATCAAGTGGGCCATTGCCACTGCAGCATGAGCAAAATCCAGCCCCGCCACCAATGGAGCCATATCTGAGGCCCTTGGAGGACAAAGCCCTAGAGACAGGCATGGATACACAGGGCCCAGCCCTTTTGGTGGGGCAGGCTCCTCACCTTGTTGAGGTGGCTCTGCTTGAGGCCAGCCTGTAGGCCACTGGTGAAGTAAGAGGTGGGTGAACCGGAATAAAAATGAGAGAGGGGTCCCCCACTGCCTCCACCACTCCGAGGCTCACTGAAGCTGTTAGGTGGGGGGGACATCTGCAGAGAAAAGTCCAGCCCAGTGAGGAAGAAAATGGTAGAAGACCCCCCCCCACACACACACACCATGACTGTGCTTGGTCACGTTGCTCTTCTGGGAACCTGTAAGGCCCACAGCCACTTTAACAAGCTCAGGATGGACCACAGAAGGATGAGCTGCATGGCTCACCCTAAGCCCAGTGACCTCACTTCAACAGACCACTGGCTACTATGTGGCCAAGGGGTGAGTCCCCAGCAAGCTCCCAGGAACCACCCACTGCCCCCAGGGAGGAAAGAAATGCTTGAGCCTAGAAATTTGAATTGGGCAACACAGCAAGATTGCCTCAAAAATTTGTAGAGACCAGGTGACAGTGGCCTTTAATCCCAGCACTGGGGAGGCAGAGGCAGGTGATCTCTGGGAGTCTGAGGACACCTGGTCTGCAGAGTGAGCTCCAGGACAGCCAGGGCCACATAGAAGCCCTGACTCAAACACAAAGAAAAGAGTTTGTGGAGAGCAGTGACAAAGGAGTGGCGTTTCTTGTTACACAACCAGGGCTGACGGCCACGTCCACTCTAGTGCACAACAGTGCCGTATTTAGGCTGCAGAACACGGTGTCTTGGCTCTTACCTTGTGTCGGTTGGGTCCATGAGGCCCTAGGGCTGGCTCCCGAGGGTGGGAGAAGAGCCGTCGAGGTCCCACATCCTAAAATTAAAGGAGCAAAGCATGGGGGGGGGCAGGTGTGAGGTGTTTGCTAACCTTACCCTGGGTCAGTTCCACACAATTTAACACTAGGGATTTGTGACCCACACTTGGGCCTGTGGGGGGATAGTACAGCTGAAGCCAAAGCAGAGGAGTGTCCTGTCCCAGGGGCAGGTGTGCCTGGGCTCCTGGAATGGATGCTGTGAAATGACTATGTTATGTGCTCAAAATGGGAAAGACAGACAGATAAGATGCTAAGGTCTTCCTCTAGGGAGAAAGCGTGCCTTGGGACTTAGGCTGGCTTCCTTCCTCAATATATATAAAGTGGATGTGATAGTGAATGCCTGGGATCCCAGCACTGGTGGTAGAGATAAGAGAATAAGACATTCAGAAGTATCTCAGCCTGGGCTACATGAGGTCTTGTCTCAAAAAAAAAAAAAAAAAAAATCCAAAACCAAGTAAAAGAGACAGACATGGACAGGAGATTTAAGAAAAAGGAATGTGTCAGCCACAAACTCCTGACTGTCTACATGATACCAGAGAAAGTACACGTGGTTGAGGTGCCTTTGACATAAGTCCCTGGAACCAGGAGTGTGCCTTGGATTTGGGAATGCCACATAAGAGACATTGGGAGGGGAGGGCATCCCTAAGTCCAGTAAGAAATTCACCAGTGTCTCAGGTACAATTCACACACATTTAACACTGTTTTAAAAAATTTATTTTTTTGATTTTTGAGACAGTATTTCTCTGTGTAACCCTGGCTGTCCTAGAACTCACTCTGTAGATTAGACTGGCCTCAAAGTCACAGAGATTCACCTGTCTCTGCCTTCTGAGTCCTGAGATTAAAGGTGTGTGCCACCACCTCCTGATAAAAAAGTTTAATTACACTTTTTTTTTTTTTTTTTGGTTTTTCAAGACAGGGTTTCTCTGTGGCTTTGGAGGCTGTCCTGGAACTAGCTCTTGTAGACCAGGCTGGTCTCGAACTCACAGAGATCCGCCTGCCTCTGCCTCCCAAGTGCTGGGACTAAAGGCGTGCACCACCAACGCCCAGCCCCTAATTACACTTTTTTATGTGTACCCATGTGTAGGTGAGAAGACAACTTTTGGAAATAGGTTCTCCCGTCTACCACGTGAGACAGGAACAGAAGGTCTTCAGGCTTCGAGATAAGCAGGCTGGACAGCTGGGGTCTCACCAGCCCTTTACTGTTTACTTTTCCTGAGACAGGGTTTCTCTGTGTAGCCCTGGCTGTCCTGGAACTCACTCTGTAGACCAGGCTGCACTCTGCCTCCTGAGCCATGGGATTAAAGGCATGTGCCACCACTACCAAGCCATACCTTTATTTTAATTTCCTGACATTGAGGGCATCGTGTAACTGGGCCAGCTTTGAACTCCTGATCATTCTGCCTCCACCTCCCAGGCTTGGCACAGAACCCAGCAGACAGTATACGCCTGCTTTGTCCTGTGACCCTCCACACAAGGTCAGATGTGGACTGTCCCACCTGCGCACGTGTGCACGCCAGAGGATGACCTTGGGTGCTGTTCCTCAGAAGCCATCACTTATCTTCTAGTTTTGTTCATGTGTTTGCACACCGTATGTATGGAGGACAGAGGATGACTGGGGTCTTTCTCTACTTTGTTCACTGAAGTAAGGCTTCTCACTAGTAGCCAGAGCTTGCCAATTCCATTCATCTGGCTAGTCAGCTCCCTGCAGAAATGCCCTTTCCACCACAG